TTTATAAAATTTTGTGTTTGTATACTAATATGAATTTTAGCATTATCTTGCTAAAAAAAATACTTATTATTGCTTTCTTTAAATTTCACTAAAAAAAGTATTAGATAATAGCTAACAATCTCTTCTATATATTTTTGACTATTAATATGGCCATATATTCTAATTAAAAAATCCAACCCAAATCAAGAAAAATATTCCATAATATAATCCCTCACCTCTATATTTTACCATAGAAACGAAATAACTAGAATCATATTTTTCTTTAAGAAGCCTCCATACATGAATTTTTCTGTCATTTTTAAATAATGTAAATCTTGATTCATTGCTTCACATTATTTTTTTCCAATTATCTATTTTTCAAAAATTTTTTTTACATGCTTAATTCAACTGATTTTTTTGATTAGTCTCATTAACAAAAGGTTTTCTAAGATTTGTTTGACTATAATATTTTATTTTGTATAAAGTATGTCTAATAGTTCTTTGACTTATATTATTTTTGGATGATTCTAAAAAAATTTTATGTATTTTTTTTATAAGTTTGCAACAGGTTTTTTTTATTATTGTCTTGAGATGGCATTTATCATGTTGAATTATTTTTTTTGGATATCCACTTCTTGAAGCAACAGAAATAGTATTGAATTTGTGAAATTTCATTATAATATTACAAATTGTGGTCTTACCATATCCAGTTTTTTTTGAAATTGTTCTTTCAGAATCACCAGCTTTATGAAAACTGATAATTCTTTTACACTTGAAATCTATTAGCTCTTTTTTTTTTATTATTAAAAAAAAGAATAAGAAAGTAATTGAGCAAAAATGATGTATATACGTAGAATTATTAATGTTGGTAGTAAAAAACATGTCTTTTTTTTTTTTGGTAAGTTATACAGTTGTATAAAGCAAAATAATTAGGGTGGTTCTAAACTTTTGACCAGGGAATGTATTTATTATATGTGATTTAGCAAATTAAGAAAACATCTGGAAACACTAATATATTTTCATAATTATTAATTAAAGTATCTATATAAGCAAGATAAACAAATGAGTCAAAGTCTTAAACAATATATTTAAAGCCCAACACTTTATACAATAGTTAACAACTTTCCAATTGAAAAATACGAGAGTTGCAATCTAGTTACAGAAAAAAAAATAGATATATGCATTAGAAAAACACAATTGAAAGAGGCAATAATACTATTAGTTAAAATAATAAAGAAAAGTTTGAAATTCAATAATCAAATTATTGGAAATCTTTTACAAGTACAAACTTCACTCAACTTAATTAAACAAATGTATAATTGAAACAGCTCAATATCAAAGAAAAAAAATAAGATCCAGATAAAAATTAACAATACTAGCAATGAACCAATAACAAATATATCAAGTTTAAAAACATTAGAATTATAAAACCAAATTAGGCAGAAACTGAAACAAAATTCAAAAGAAAATTTAGAAATAAAAATATATACAAATATATACAAATGAATTTATAAAGAAATATGACAACAATCAAGTAAAAATAGGAATAAAAGATATAATTATAAATATAGAAATACTAGAAAAAATAGAATTCAAATAAAAATACAAAGAATTTTTATCTTAACAAGAGCAAAGCTAATGGAAATCCCAATCCCAATAATATTTATTTTAAAATAAAAATTATTATAATAATAAATAACCAAAATACAATTTATACAATACAATAAAAAATTATATAGAAGTAAAGAATAGTAAAAGAAACAAATATATTTACAATAATTCTTATTCAAAAAAAAATAAAAAATAGAATAGCAATCATTAAGCTTAAAAAAATCAAAACATATACAAGAAACAAATATAATAAACATGCAAACAAATTAGCAAAAGAGAGCAGGAAGCTTGATCACATATATATTATATATTATAAGTATAAGCTACTAACATATAAGAAAAATGACAGATATATTGTAATTAAACAGCAAGAACCTAGATATAGGAATCAATGAATTTATAAAACCATAGCAAAACAGCAAATGAATCAGTATATGAATTATGCAAAAGAGACACAAAGCATAACTTAAAACAGGAGATAAGAAAATAATAGACTGAAAAAAAATATAAGCAAGCTTTTTATTATTGAAAATCACAAGTTTCTATATTAATTAATAGAATTATAATAATAGAATATTCAAATACAAACTGTTTAATAAAAAGCTTTTTACTAAAAATAAATTAAATAAGAGAAGACTTGATATATACAAAAACAAGATATGTTTTTGATATAAAAATTGAGAAACTATAGAACATATCTTTAATGAATACTATAAAAATAATATTAAAACCAAATATATACAAGTATTAAAAAAAAAATTTAATAAAATAGAAAAACAGGAAAAAATATTTAACTAGAGAAATCAATTTAAATATATTATCAATAACTCAGAAAAAATAATCAGATATATAATTAAAGACATTTATGAAAAGGATTTAATCAATTTGATAGAATGTATTAATATAATATAGTATAAAAATTAAAGACACATCAAGAATAGTTACAAACTGAATAATAGAAGAACTCCAAAAACTCTGGAATTACAGATATCTAAGATTTCAATAATATGAAAAAAAGAAAAACATAAATAAGCCAACACCCAACTTAAAAACATAACATAGTATAGATTTTCAATAAATAAAAAATAAAGGAAGCTAGAAAACTGTAGTGAAAACTTATAAAGAACTGGTTAAATAAGAAAAAATAATATAATTATTTTTAACTTTAATTACTTATATGATAACAATATTAATGGAGTTTTAGCATATTAGTCTTGATATATACCAAAATATAAGTTAATAGTAACAAGCCAATATGAAATTATTTTGATATAGCATAATATGTATCTAGAGTAATTTATAAATAATAATTCTTATAATTAGAAATACAAATATAAATTAAATAAAATATGTTTAGCAAGATTTTACTAATTGAAAAAAAAATGTTTTGATGTTTTATAAAATATAATTAGTTAAGAATAAATATTAATTACAGTAATTATCAAAAATAAATTAATTATAATTTTTTGATATAAAATTCTTTGAAAAGGAATTTTTGATTTTTGATAATACAATATAATATATTGAATAATATTGAAAATTATATTTTGTATATATTGTAAATTTTTTAAGTTAACAATATAAATTCTTTGAAAAAAAACAAAAATATTTAAAAAAGTTTTTATAATAACAAAAAGTGTTTTAATAAAAGTTGAAAATAAAAAAATTTTCAAAAAAAATTTATAAAGAAGCAATTATTACAAGTCTTTTTTTATATAATTTAAGAAGAAAACAAAATTTCTAAACTTGTTTTTTTTAACTAAAAGTTCTATCTTGATATATCAATATGCTTTTTTGATTTTTTTGAGATTTTTATAATAAAGACTAAGAAAATATAAAGGATTTATAAATATTAAAAAACAAAAAAAAATATTATATTTAAGAAAAAGTTTTTTTATTTGATAATTAATAAATTGTATTAAACTATTTATATAAAAGATATTAATAAAAATAGTTTAAATTAAATAACTTTACTATATAATCAATAAAAATAATATATGAAATATATTTTGCCTCTTAAAAAAAATATTTGATAATATTATAATTTAAATCTATAATTTTATTGTTACACTATAATTTCACTATATAGTTTTGATTATATATATATTCGTATTATGATAATATAATTATTTACTATATTACTTAGTAATTTTATTATAATATAGTTTTTAAAAAATATTTGAAACAAATGTTTTGCTATAAGAGATAATCTAGCTTTAATACTGTATAATATTATAAATGCATGCCTAACAGTTTGATTAAAGGAAAAAAAAAAACAATAAAATAAATTATATTTTAAATAAATCAATTTTCTAATTAACAATTGTTAAAAATATAAATACAGTCTCACTTCTATTTAAGAATCAGGTTGGGACCATAGTAATTTTTTGAAAAAATGTTCTTATAAAGAGGTGTTCTTATATGAAAGTTATTTTCTATAAGTTTAATAATAATTGGTTCTTTGATGTGATGTTCTTAAAAAAAGGTTTTTATATGATGTTCTTTTATGGAGGGTTCCTTTATGAAAGGTTGACTGTATAAAAATTTTTTAACCATAAATTTTTAATATACTGATTTTTTGAAATTGTCTAAAAATTATTTAAGGTAATACAATTTTTATTTAAACTTTGAATATACGATGTACACTAAAGACTAAAATCAAGGGCCAACTCTGTGATGGGATCGATAAGTTCAAAATTTTGGCTAAACAAATGATTGATAGGGTAGTACTTTTCGCGCAAGATCTCACTCAATGTCTCGGTTTTTTAAAGCGAATAGTTGAACGACAGTGCTTTCAGGCAATATTTGAACTCATGGATCAGTAGATCGAAAAATCTCCATTCCGACAAATTCGTCAAGCTAACAAGGCACTTACCTTATGTGAATTGGTCACATCTCGCATTCAACAATGTTAAGTAATTTGAGATGCCTTCAATGACAAAACAAAATCTTATCAGACAATCCAGACAGAACACAATGAAACTAGACATTGTACGCTGTCAATCTCCAATTTTTACCTCGCATATAAGATGAACAATTCAATGCGTGCTGTTGAAGTAAATGACTTGGTCAACACTGTTGTATTTAAGGCATTCAATATAAACTAACTGGAAATCGATCCGTACGCAAAACTATATATAATCAGTCATTGCTAACCTGAAAGGTAATAGCGGATGCTTGGGAAAATTGCCGTGCTTAGCAAATTTACAAAAAAAAGATCGTCAACTGGTAAACCCAGAATAAAAAAGTATAATGAAGAGTGAAAATAAAAAGCTACCACCTTTATTACAAATTTTGAAAATAATCTCCGAGAAGATATCTGTGCACATATCGTCTATTCCATATATAGGAACAAAGCAAGAAGAAAAAAAGAAGCATTGCTACAACAAAACCCAAAGAAAGCCCGCCCGTTAAACAACCGTATACTTGCCATATCCACCCAATGAGGTGCTTCCAGGATTTCGAGCCTCGGCTTCAATGGCACTTAGCGTAGTTTCGGTTAATATTCGCTTTATCTCATTTTTGGCTTTTTCAACAACGTATTCATTTTCTCCCTCAACGAACAGATAAAGCTTTCTCTCACCGGATCCAGGCGCAGGCTGGCGACCAGGAGGAAAGTAAGTGCCACGTGTTGTAATTGCAGCGCCTGTAAGTTCCGTAATTTGAGATATTTGTTCCTACAAAATAATATAAATATAACGGCATTTTACAATAAATAAATAAAAAAGCAATTTCAATGTGATTTCAGATAAGCGAGTACGATACCTTGTTGGTGACCTTCCACCTTGCTTTTTGTGGATAATCATTAATTTCAATCTCAACAGAATACTCTGCGGCATTTTCAGCCTTATCAGCTTCAGGTGCAGTGCCTTGAACACTGTTTTCCTTGAAACGCGCGTTGATATCAGCAATAATGTCCTTTGCTCTTTGAACGCCACTGGCACCAACATTTTTTGCATTAACACGGGCCGCAGCTTCTTGAGCAGCTTTTAGGGCTTATTGCAAATAATAATTATTAAATTCATATTAAATAATTAAAATTATTATTATATATAATTATTAATTAGCCTTACCGGCGATCGCAGCAGGGTCAGTGGATTGACCATTTACAGCACCGGATATAATAGCCGTTGCGGCCTTTGACATGTTAGTAGAGACGCCCAAACCAGAAATATCATCTTTCTTAGATTGATGAGGCAGAAGATCATCTTCTTCTATTTCATCTTCTGACGTATCATCATCAGCATCGCCGTAAGTCTAAATGCATGAATATTTTAATAAGAAAAAAATATGATGTTTTATAAATGAACGGATCTTACTTTTCTTTGAGCTTTTTTGACAAGATCTCGTGCTTCATCCAATCTTTCGAGACCTTTTCCTCCAAACCCAGAACTCGAATACGTGGCACTACCTGCTTTAACTTTTTCTTGGAATCCTGGAAAATAATAGGTTTCAACAACTTTTCTCTAATGCTTAAAAATGAACAATAATGTATTATATACCATCGGCCAATTTCTGCAATTCAGGAATCACCGGAGCACCACTTAATTTCAGCGCTTTGACAATATCCATAGCATATCTGTCTTGTTCTGGAGTGATAAATGTATAAGCAGTCCCCTTATTACCCGCGCGACCAGTTCTGCCAACACGATGCACATAATCTTCCATATGGTTAGGGCATTCAAAATTAATGACTAATTTAAGTTGCTTAACATCAAGGCCACGCGCGGCAACAGAAGTTGCAATTAACAACTGACAAACACCGGACTTGAAGTCTGCTATAGTACTATCACGATCTAATTGATCCTGAGAAAGCATAAATGACAAGGATTAAGTATATGATTGATCAATAAGATTGATTTCCAAAATTAATCTACCTTTCCTCCGTGCAATGACATACACGGGTAGCCTTTACGAATTAAGTCTCGCAGTAAATTATCTGCTGCTTCTTGCCGATCAACAAAAATTAGAGCTCGAGCGTCAGGATCATCATTATATTGTTGACCTAAGATTTCAAGCAGGCGAACAAACTTAGTACTATCCTCTCGCACTTCCACTATTTGAGTTACGTCTTGCGCCACAACAGAGCGCCCCCCGACTGTGATTTCTAAAGGCTTTTTTAGTACTTTGCGGGCCAGAGATTCCATCTATCATAATGAAGGGTTACATTTAAGATTTATAGAAATGAAAAATTAAATTTTACGGTACCAAGTATCATTAACCCTTACTTGACGTGGGAATGTGGCAGAAAACAATACAGTTTGCCGATCAGGTCGGACGTTATTGACAATTTTCATAACCTAATAGAAGACAGCTTGATAAAAAAAATAGCCTAAGAAGGCAAAAATCACTTATAGAAAAATACCTGAGGTTCGAACCCCATATCAAACATTCGATCAGCTTCGTCTAAAACAAGATAAGTAACTCGTTTCAGGTTTGTTACTCGTCCAGAATTTGCACACAATAAATCAATCATACGTCCTGGAGTACAGACTATAATTTCAGCCCCTCGCTTTAGCTCTGCGATTTGATCTTTTATCGGTGATCCTCCGTATGCACAAACCGCCTTTTAAAATCAGAAAATTATAATTAATATTCAAAATAAAATAAAAAATCATACAAAAACTCAAATGTAAATAGTACCCGAAGATTTAATCCTTTTAGAAAATGTTTGCATTCCTTATGAATCTGTACTGCCAATTCTCTAGTAGGCGTCATAATTATAGCTACTGGACCCTCCATTTGATCTAACGGACGTTGATCTTTAATGTGGCGGAACATTGGGAGTAAAAAAGCTATCGTTTTTCCGCTTCCAGTTTTCGCAACTCCTATAACATCACGACCAGCCATTATAGCAGGTATGGCCTGGGATTGGATGGGCGTGGGTTTTTCGAAATTTAACTTTTTTATTACCTGCAAACTAAACGTTTCAGGAAATTATTGTAGCAGTCATAATCTTAATCAGAAACTCATACAATTAGTCAATGTCAAATTTTTTTACCAGGCAGCGGGCAACCCTGCATGAGTCCATTTCTGTATTGGTTTGGGACAATCGATTCCCTGAGAATACGAAAATATTAGTATCTACATGATCAAAAAACTTTTTTTTATAGTATGGAATACCAACCCTGATCTTTATACCGCCTAATTCCACCCTTATAAGGTCTACTTGGTCGGGTGTTAGATCATGCATTTCCGGAGGTTCAATGTAGAAATCTTTGCGAAAAGGTTCATATTTAACTTGAGCATGATCAACGGCAGCCAAATCTTTTTTCTTAAGCTTTTTAGCCGCAAGTCTATTATTAATATTAAACGATATATTCAATTAATCTATAATCTTATTGATAGTACTCTCATCTATCTTTGTTAGTTTCTCTTTCGGCATAACTTACGCAAGTATATCTTCTGGATCACTTCCAACTTCTTCTTCTACATCACCCTCGTCCTGAACAGATTCCAATTTCTCATATCGACTTTTACCTTTCGCTACTTGTTTTGCTCGCTTTTTGTCTTGTTCATTTAAATGTTCCACTTCAACTTCCACATCTTTCATAAAAGCATCGAGTGGATCTTCATCCGCACTGTTATTTTGCGTCAATTGATCGCTTGTATCTTCTGCATTAGAAACTTTGGAAGACGAAACAGAATTTTTTTCTTCTTCAACTGTCCCTTCTTTACCTTTGCCTTTAAAATTTGATTTTCTGTTACCGAGTCCAAGCAAAGGATTTCTCCTAACTTGAGAAACTGGAGAATCAGTCTTATCGACAGGCTTTGGAATTGGCATTAAATCCACGGATTCTATATTTGCGGAAAAATCCAGAATGTTAATATTATTTGAGCTGCAGGAATCCTATTATAATGAAAAATGGTTCAACCTGGAGCGCCATCAACTTCCATAGTTTCATCTTCATCGTCGTCATCTAATGTCCAACCCTTATTCAAATTCTGTTTTGTCTCTTCGTCTACTGTTGAAGATTCACCGGTGTTAGTTTCTGTCTTTGCTTTAGCTGCTTCTTCCGCCAATTTAGCAGCTTCTCTTTCCTTTCGCCATTGCTCAACTCTTTCACGTCTCTGACGAATTTTCTCTTCTTGGTCAAGTAGGGCTGCTACTGTTGCAGATGTCGCCGAATCAGATGACTACAAAGAAAAAAGTTTTCGATGTCTATACGATAAATAAATAAATATTTATTTATTTATTTAAGCAGAAAATAATTACCTTAAAGTCTGCGGTATTTGCATGCGATTCTGTACCTCCATTGGAATTTTCTGATATAGAAGTCGCATGAATATCTTCAGACTTCAATGAATAAAAAGAAGTGTCCATAATAGAACTTGGAGATCTATTCGCATTTTTAGATTCGTGAGTTGGTGGGCTAGAACTTCTCGTCAATCGTGTCTTTTTATCTTCATAACCTTTCAAGTTCTGTGTCTTCACATGTGCGTCTTCCTTTTCATCACCTCTTGAATGTCTAGATCGTTTATGTTCTCTGTCATCCTTGTGGCGATCCTTCTCTCGACCGCTACGTCTCTCACGACTCCGACTCCTGTCTCTAGATTTCTCACTTATAGAATCTTTTGTGCGTTCACGACTTCGATTTCTATCATGTCGATGTGAATGTTTTCTTTTTTTGTGGGGAGAGCGAGATCTACTTCTTGAACGAGAATGTCGAGCCATTTAACCGGAGACAAGTCAATTTTTTGTGATTGCCAATTTTTATACATGTTTTGCAATTGGTCAATTGGACCAATCGGACGAATTTTACGTTCAGTTGGCATGATCGACAGTCGAGTCAAAGATGCAACAATATCCACTTACCTCCTCTACTCATTCAGGCTCTTCAACTGTAGGCCCTTCAACTGTCCCACAGTTTGTAGTGATCTACGATCAAATGCAACAGTCATGGAAGCACCCAGTGGTACATTATGTTTTTGAAGATGAACCTTTCCCTCTGATTGCTCAAAAAGATCGGTGCGTTCTAGTAGATCTTAAGGAAGATGGTGAAAGCGTAGCCGATTGTCACTCTTTAAGCCATACTTTTCAAGTGACTGATTGTAAAGTCAGTCTAACTCCACAAATGAATGCGGCAGGACAAGGTGGCAAAGAGCCCTCATCTGCAACAGGTCTAATGCTAACCATTGAAGGCATTTCTAACAGGTAAGTCAGTTGAATTCTCAATTCATCGTTAATTATACCGCGGATGTTTTAACATTTTAAACATTTGAGAATTTGAAATTCGTAAAAAGCAAATCGATAAGAAGCCGAGGAAACCAATTAGGCTTTAGAGATGAGTTCGATCAATCCTCTAGTATATTCGGATTGGATGGATTAGTGTATGACTACAAGAGAAGGTAGGAAGTGGTTCTTCCATTCATTTATTTTTATTTATTAAAAAAAACAAAAGCGATCCGTTTAAAACATAAAATTCAATTGCACAGGAATGACCTAATGAGACAATTGTTTTCTAAAGATACTCCATGATTAAATAGATTATGTTAAATGACTTTCGCTGAGAATTAGTTTATTGATTGGATCTAGGTAGAATACTATTGCTTCAGTGGGATTTGTGGTTTGCGTTAATCAAAATTTGGAGTAATGCGACAACATACCTTCGTAATGTTAGTTTATTAATTACATATTGATGATTTTCATAATGGGACATTTTACCTTCACTACACATCTCGCCTTTTATCGATTTCTAATAGAAAGAATGCACTTTTGTCTCAACTACCAGTCTGAACTGGAAGATAAAGGTCTGGTGTATGAAATCCTAAAGGGAAACTAATATTTTAACTGGATACTTCAAAATGTACAGATATCTGTATCTGTAAATTATTTATTTGATTTAAATATTAAATGGCATATCAAATAAACTTTTTCTATATCTTTTTAAACCGATTTATAAGATACAGTGGTGATCACGAGAAATGACAATTTCTCCCGGCAATTTGTTCGATTGTGCAACTTCGCCAAATCTGATCAGAATTTCATTATTTATGAACGTAATGGAAGCTAGGGGTAACTTTGTTCCTTCTATTGCGCAATTTCTTGAAAATTCTAACAAAAGTCCTGTTTTTTT